AAGTCCAGATTATGACATTTTAACAGTGTGAAAAACAGAAGCAAACTTGACATTTTAGGAGAAAGAGGAACATCCATTACTGAAGTTGGGCAACAGCACACAGCTTGTGGATTATCACATTCTAAATGCAAAACATGAATGGAACATTAAAAGGTCATAAAGAGAGCAACCCATTACGTGAGTATGGAAAGTCATTCATACTGCTGTTGCTTTTCTAAAAGTCGAAATACACGAACATCTAAAGTTCTCTTTGCTTTCTAGGTCTGTATAATTTTCCTTTCTACTCTAAAAAGTAGAGATGGGCAATCTGAGGCCTCAGGGCTGAGTGCAGTTTCCCAACCCTTTATTCCATTATTATTAAAAAATCTACAGTGTTGATTCCTGCCATTTGGAAATAAAAACCATACTGAAATTGCAAAATACCACTTAAGCTAATCCCTTCACAATTAACAAAAACCCAAAATCCTTTGGGGGAGGGGAAAAAATCAGACCAACCCAATCTTACTGACATGTGTAAGAAAGCCACACTGATATTGTACCATCACCTGTCTGCCTCCCTTCCAGATTTTCAGTAGAGGCTCCTTTGAGAAAGCTACTTTCTTCATTGTCTCAAACAGAAATAACTTTTCCATTCATATGACCCCCACCTATGAAAAGTTTGCAAATGTGATATAATACAGGCAGTCCTTGACTTACAACCACAATTGAGCCCAAAATTTCTGTTGCTAAGCGAGACGTTTGTTAAGAGAATTTTGTCTCATTGTACAACCTTCCTTGCCACAGTTGTTAAGTGAATCACGGCACTTGTTAAATTAGTAACAGGGTTGTTAAGTGAATCTGGTTTCCCCCATTGACTATTCTTGTCAGAAGGTTGCAAAATGTGATCACATGACCTTGGGACATTTCAACCGTCATAAATATGAGTCATTTGGCAAGCTTCTGAATTTTGATCATGTGACCATGCAATGGTTATAATGGTGAAAAACGGTCATATGTAACTTTTTTCAGTGTGGTTGTGACTTTTGAGCACTCAACTAAACAATCTGTTGTAAGTCGAGGACTACCTGTATTCATTTGACTCAGGGAAGGGGAAGAATACTGAGAAAATATATTTGTCCTGGAAAAGTAGAAAGCTGGAAAGCAGCTCAAAACAACTTTGTTTTGGTTGTGTTAGGTATAAGTTGAAATACTGACAAGCATTCAAGATTTTGTTAGATTACCATAAAGACATTGAATTACATTCTAATACTTCTAGCAACTGATTGGGCCTTCTCAAATATAGGCTGACATGTGACAAGGAACTCTGCCTTAGAGAATCTCCAGCCAAACAAGGAATCCTTCCTAAACTGGAAGACCCTAGATTGCATTTTCCTTCCAAAAGACTCACTCACTGCATTAGGGAGGGCTGGACATAGAACTGCATCATCTACTTCTGTGGAACAAAACTAGCAGATTTTGCAAACCCTTCAAGAGCATGCAACATATGAGAGGGCTGCAAAGCAAAGACAGAATATTATAATTAGTATCATTTCTGGAATTACATTCAATGTTATCTACCTCTTTTGGGTCAGGCCAGCAGTATCAGAATCTGACACCTGATCTAGGTCAACTTCCACACAGCAATATTTTCAACCGCTGTGAGCCCCTCAAAGGAGAATTCAGGATTCATTAACTTACCACAATCATGACATACCTCCGACCATCACAATGGAAATCATTCACCATGTCTGGCATGTCCCTGAAACCATCCTTGTTGAAGGTGAAGTCTCGCTTAGCGTCCATATAATCCAGATCATTCCATTGTACATCCTATGAGCCCAGGAATGAGATTCTGGTGAAAGCAGGTTTGCGTCCCACCTCACTTTTTCTCTAAGAACAAATATTCTCTTTGAGTGATTACACTGACAGGGCAGCTGTACTACTTCATACAGGTTGGGTATCCATACCCAACCTGTGATCTGTTTTATAATCAGGGCTTTTTTTCAGCCGGAACGCGGCGGAACGGCGTTCCGGCACCTTTTTCCGGGCCGGCCGCACCGGAAATAGCCCCTCCCACACCGGAAATAGCCCCTCCCAAATTTTACTTGCATTCCTGTTCTCTAAAGGGGCGGTCCTAGGGTTTGATGAGGGCGTGGCCAGGTTTGCGTTCCGCCACCTTTTCTCTGAGA